CTGGCTAAGTGGCAGCTGCCCGGGCATGTTCCCCTTGGGGGAGGGGTTAGGCAGTTGACTGGGTCTCCGGCCCCTGTCCGCTTACTTCTCCACTCTGGCCCCCTCTGAGCGTTCTCTCCCTGGGGTGGTCAGCAGGGGCCTTGCATAAATGGCTTTGTTGAGATGAACGGCCTGGCTTTTCGGCAGCTTAGGATAGCTGCTCCAACCATCCCTGGACCTGAGATCAGTTGATAATTCCTAAGATCTTTCTTTGAGATGGAGCCTCGCTGCCAGCCGTCCTCAGCTGGAAGCTGTTCCCCCCCACCCTCCCTCCAGCCCTGCCCCATGATATTTGGCAGTTCTGGAGACACTTTTGGTTGTCACACAGGGGGCGGGGGTGCTGCTATTGGCATCTAGTGGGTAGAAACCAGGGATCCTGCTAATGTGCTGCACAGGACAGCCCCCCCACACAAAAAGAATTATGCAACCCATGATGTCCCTGTGCCCTGGCTGAGAAACCCTGCTCCAAGTCAGCCCACGGCTTGCCAGCAGGTGCTGCCTCCAGCCTGGGAAGCAGGGGTGCTCCTGAAATCTTTTATTTTTTTTTCCCTTGAAACGACCTTGGAATCAGTATCCTAATTCTAGTCCCAACTGGCTCAGTCTCCCCACTCAGTCGTGTAATTCAGCCTCCCCGGTCAGAGCTGTTCTGAAAGGCGTGTACACATAAGAGCCCCGTGTGCATGTTTGCCTCAGAGCCCTGTGGAACCTTCATAGAGACCCGTTTCCAAAGATGGGGGCCTAGCCCTGCCTATATAGCCTCAGGCCAGGAGAACCATGGGACCCTTTGTGCTATCCTCATCACTATCTTTCTTTTCAATCCCACCCTCCCACCATCCACCAGCCCCCCCCAATCCCCCGAGATTAATGTGATAATTGCCATGTGTGCCTGTTTACACAGGGAGTGGGTGCACTCACCACCCCCAATCAGGCAGGTTCCCGAAGTAACAAATCCCCACTGTATCAGGACCGTACCACTAAGCACTCCTGTGCTGCGGGTGGGCCGCCACCCCCGACTGCTTTCTCTGTCTGTCATCACCCCTGTCGTGTGCGCACGTGTGTGTGTGTGTGTGTGTGTGTGTGTGTGTGTGTGTGTGTGTGTGTGTGTGTGTCAGGGAACCAGCAGGTGAGAAAGACGGCGAGCAGCCCGCCTGCCAGTCTAGGGGCTTGGCTGGATTGTGTGGGCGGGGACTCAGCCCCGCAGATGAAGAGGGCATTGCCCCTGGAGAATAGCTCTCTTCTGTGATGCCTGGCCCAGGGTAGGTGTTCAGGAACGGTGCGGAAGGAGGCTGACACCCTGTGTAGCCTGCTTTGCAGGGAAGGGCCTGGTGTACACTTAGCTGCCCCATAGCAGTGGTCTGGGCAGGGAAGGTGTCACCGTGAGACTCTCCTGGGACCAGAATGGAGAGGAATGTTTGGAAAGCTGTGGGTCTCCTTCCCCAGGGTTCTGCTCAGAGAGCTTAGCATGGCTGTTCCCTGTTTCTGAAGGAAGAGTGGCTAGGGAAAATAAAGTGTGATGATGCTACCATCCTATGTGCAAGCAGCTTATCAGTCACAGGAGCAGAGGGGGTTCAGTGGAGCGTGAGGGAGAAAGTCCCCGCTCAGAGGCAGTCCCCCTCTCTCTCACCTCCTGCTGTGGCACAGACACATATGCACGCCCCCAGAGAGGTCACAAACTCTGGTTGAACCGGCAACTTTTTGCCTGGCGTTCCGGATTCCCACCTCACGTGGTACCAGGGCCCTTGCTGCCTTGGGAGTTGGTCGATCACTTTTTTCTTTGTTAACGTCAGGAGACACTTGATTGTCTCTCCTACACTGGCCAATTTTAAGGTTTTAATAGTGATGAGTCAGAAGGAGATGGAAGCTGTAATTAGCATCAGAAAGAACCGTGCCCTGTTGGAGGAGGAACTGTGGAGCCTTCTGCTTGTCCACTTCCTGCTGAGTCCTGGTGGCCTTCTCTGCCTGAAGGAGTCATTGATCCATTGACAGGCACACAAGGTGAGCGCCAGGCCACCTGGGGAAATAGGATGGGAGGGGAGGAACAAGAGGAAAGCTGAGGGAAAGGAGAAAGGTGTGGAGAGGGTGCGGCAAGTCTATTAAAAGGTTTGTGAATAATCTTGGGAGCTGTCATGCTGTTTTCTCCAGAAGAAACTTTTAAGCTGTCAGTCATCTTTAACAGCTCCCCCTCCCCACCCCCCCACAGGGCACAGTGCCACTGGTGCTGGGGTCCTCCCAGATTTCTTTTTCTCCTTCTCTTCCCTTCTTCCTTTTTTGTTCATCCTACAGGCCCTAATGCCACAGTGGATGACTTTTTTTTTTTTGCAATTTGGACAGAACTTCATATGTTGAGAGGGGAATATCAGAATGATTTTGGGGAGTTATATTTGAAACATAAGAATCATTTTATTCAAATTGTGGTTGTTTATTGATTAATTGAGCAGCTATTTGTGCCAAACACTTTGTTGGGAGCCAGGTCCAGAAATGAGCTGTTAACGTTTTTGCTTTCATGTAGGCAGGTTAAATGCAAAACCAAAGCACTCTCACAAAATACTGAGTAAAAAGTCACTGTTCATCATCAGTATTTTATAGAAGAATTGGAACATACATTCTAGACTCTGGGCCAGTGAGAATCTCTTCATCTCTGCATTTCACAGCCTATGATTATATTTCCTGATACGTGACTGGATTTTCTTTGCGAAAGGGGGTTTCATAGTCAAGGAAATGTATAAAATGATAGAATAAACAAAGTCAGTGTTCCTTTATCGTGGGTCTTCTCGGGGGCCAGGGGGGAAATAGAGTATATTGTGTTCCCCAAGTTTCTTTGGTTACAGAAGCCCACTTTGCACAGAGCACATGAACCTCTTACAGATCCCTCGTGTAGGAACAATTTGAGGAATGCTCTTTATAGCGTCTCCGACAAATAGTCACCCAACTGAAACTGCTTTAGTCCTCCCCAAACTGTAGCTCAGCCCCTCCTGGGCCCAGAGACACTTAAAAGGTCACGATTTCATCACTGCCACTGCAGACACTAATATTTATTGGCATCTGAGCCCTGTTCTGGGCGCTGGGAGCAGACCCAGTCTTGCTGACAAAGAACACTGTTGGTGGTGGTGGTGGCGGTGTGAACTGGCTAAGCCATAGAGTGAATGGAACTTGGTGATCTGGACCACCACTGATGAAACAGCTGAGCTAATAAGTCTTTACAAAATGTTGCCTTTGTAATCATGAATAAAGATACAGCTGGCTATACAAGGATCAGTCAGTCCGTCCGTCCTTCAGCTCACAGGACCACCCATGTCCCAACTATCTCAGAAAAAACGTTTTCTGTGTCCATTAAAACCCCTGGCAGCCCTTGGCATCTAGTTCTTCTGCATATTTGAATTCAGCAGTTCTCTGTGAGGGTCTGGCCCACATCGGCCCTGCTTGAGTTTAACTGACCAGACATGGTTGACCCAAAGAGCTAGATTGGCAGGTCCCTGCCTTGGTTCCATCCAGGTCAGAAGGTGTCTGTTTTTAATTTTTATTCTGCTTTATTAGCAATTACATCTCTTTGAACAGTAGAGGGGCAAGAGAAAAGACACAAGTTTGGTGAAAGAGGTTGCCTCAAAAACTCTTTTTCATGGAAAAAAATCTGCTGTACAGTGAAGGCTGCCATAACCAATGGGAGGCTATAGTCTATAGACTAACATTGAATAGGAAGCAGGAAGAAAATGAGATAATTTGAGAGAGAAAAAAGATAGACTGTCGTAGAAGTCCACAGGAACCATGAGGACAGTGAATCAAAATATGTTTGCAAAATTCAGTAGCGAGGCGGAAAGAAGGGAATTCTCAGGACAGGAAACATGTTACCATAGAAATCCTCTTTTCAGATCTTCATTTTACTAATTCAGCATGTGGATTTTTGGACATGGCACTTGACTTTGATGGCCTTGTTTCTCCAGTGTATTGGGGATAACATTTTTCCAGAAATTGAATTTCAATCAAGCATTAAAGTTTGGACGTGGTGGGGAAAGGAGAAATATTTTAAAGCCCTGCATATGTAAAATGCAACTCAAAGAGACTATGTTGAAAGATTTGGGGTTGATATTATGGGGAAGGACAGTCAAGATGGAGCTTAGTTGAAAGGCTCAGGTGTTAGGGCTTTTCAGAAGCTTCCAAACGCTTGTTTCAAGGTCCTGATAAGACATCCTGCCAAGAGTTCCCTTTGTTTGGTTAAGTCATATGGCATAGTTCTCCCTCAGCCCTCACAATTCCAGGACCTTGTATTAACTTGTGGTATAAGAACCTGGAATATATCCACTCATGCACTTTTCAGGTCACTGTGTGTTAGCATTAGAAAGAGAGCAAGGGGTCATTCTTCAAGTCTAGATTTATTCTTTGTTCTGTCCAGAGCCTTGCTGGGGCCAAGCTTGGACCAATTCTATACTATGTGACCATGAGTATAGGAAGAAAGCAAGCCAGAGCTGAGAGAGCCAGAGGTCAGGTCATGGACTGAGCCGGATGTGGGTGATGCTAATTTCTCCCAAGCAACCCTGTCAAGGCCTTTGCCAGCATCTTTGGCATAGAATGATGGACTGAGGTTACTTCTGTCTTTTTGAGAATTTGTCCAATGTGGAGTGCCAAAGCTTAGAACCACCATCACCAAAAGTGTAAAACCAGTGATTTTTGCATGATCTTGGAAAAATATTTGACTTTTCTGGGTTCAGTTCTCTCATCTGTTAAGTGAGGGTGTTAGATATTTCCAACTTGGGATGTTACGTGAGGCTGATGCAATGTCCTTCACTATGTATGGGAATGAGTTAACCCATAGTCGCATCAGGTTGGGAGTGGAGCCAAGGCAATGTTTTTAACTGTATTACACTGTGCTTATTACATTATCCTGTGTGTGAAGCTGCAGGAATAGAGGCCTTCAACTGGCAGATGGTTTTGATGAAGTATTAAGGAGCCATTTTTCTTTCTTTCAGACCAATGATGCCTTAGGAGCCACCTGGAATTGGCTGTACTTCATCCCCCTCATCATCATTGGCTCCTTCTTTGTTCTCAACCTAGTCCTGGGAGTGCTTTCCGGGTAAGCCATATGTCTCTCTTCCTCTTAACCTCTTTTTAACTGTAAACTGGTGCTCCTGACTCACGGCAGGTTCACCCATTTAGCTTCATTCAGAAGACATTTCCTGAGCAGCCACGATGTGCCCGATGCTGTCCTAGATGCTGGGAAAGTCATAGTGAACCGTCGTTCCAATCATCTTTATTATTCTTGGTTATTAAAAAAATCTGTAGATCAGGTACCACATTGAGCACAGTATCTACGGAGTGTCCGTTTATCCATCCATTCTTTCATTTTCGTCACTCAGCAGTCATAGACCTTCTCTATCAAACTGCTGGTTGTTAGGGACATAAAGTTGAAGAAGATACAGGTTTTACCCTCAAAAGATTCTGACTCTATCATGTATTGGACAGCGGAGCCTATATTTGCAGCGTGGGGCTTGGATTAGTGTACATTCGTCAGCAAATACTCAACGTCCAAAGCCATGGTAAGCATTTCAAGGGGCACGTGGACTATTAGGCCCGCTTCCTACCTTTAGGAAACTTACTGTTTGCGGAGGGGTCAGCACAAACACTAGAAACAGGGAGCAGGAGTTCTTTCACTGATTAATGTAAGATACACATAACTTGTTTGGGGAAATGGAAAAATCTGTATCGTCTGAAGTGATCAGAGATGGCTTCATGAAGGATTGGGATTTTGTGAGGGAAATGCAAATAAAAATAAAATGTGTGTTACCGAGCAGGGGCTCACTGCCTGACGTATATAGAAGCCAGTGTGATGGCAGCAACTTTCGAGAAAAGAAAAAAGCTTTTATTGCGAGGTCAACCAGCAAGGAGACAGGAGGCAAGGCTTCAGTCTGTCTCCCCGATCCAGGGTTCAGGGTACAATTTAAGGGGTTTCAGCACTGGATCTTCCTGGACAGTGAACCCTTTTCTTCTGAAAGGGTTCTGGTGCTTGGGGTCCCATCATGTTCTAGTCTTTTTGTTCTGTGGAGGGAGAAGGTAAGCGTTCACAAGTGTTATTCATAAGTGGCGTAACCAAGGCTTAAAGTTTGGTGCCAGGTCTTGTTAGAAACAGGATAGGACCAGTTTGAGCTGGTTCTGCCATTGCGTATGTAATAAGGTAAAATAGAAAATGTGAGGGCAAACATTCCCAGGAAGGGGAGCACTAAACCATAACCAAAGATGAAGAAATGGGGCTTGTCATGGAGAGTGAAGAAATTGTAGTGAGACAAAACTTAATCAGCGTGGAAATCTCACTTTGGGAAATCAAAGGTATAATTTAGGAGGGCTAAAACAGGGGTTGGTTTTAGAGGGTCTTACATTTTTCTAAGTAAAACTGTACTTAATTTCTTGCCTGAGTAGCATAAGCTCTTCAAATGAAAATTTTATGAGGTGATACTACTGTTTATGCATGGCAGCTTGAACCAAGTTGGTCATCTCTTATAACTACTAACAGGACATAAATTTTAATGACAAAAAGGACAAAAGAAGAAATGACAACAAATGAAAGATGTCATCAAAATTTTTGAGGATAGAGAGTAAATGATACCTGATCTAATGGTGAGAGAGCTGAGGTTTCATTGCCTAGGATGAGGAATGCCAACAAAAAAGCAAAATGATTGCCCTACAGAGCCCTAAAAAGGCTCAGGGATTAGAGGCACCAAGTATGTCTGAGAGCTGCTGGAGGCTGGGTGGTGCTAAAAACAAGATTATTGGTCAAAAGTTCTTGTCAGGAACACTTGGAAGCCCTCTCCCCAGTACCTTAGACAATCCTTACAGGTATCTGCCACCCCCAGCCTCCACCCCAGCCAAAGTTAGAAGTCTCACTCTGTGTAGAGATTGAATCAGAGAAGCTGGGAATGGTAGCATCAGGTGCCTCTGAGGGTGGGGTTGATATGTTGTGGTGAAAACAGGGTTAAATGAAAACCCACACACTGAGTTTCAGTACTCCAAGCCCACCTCTTCTGCGTGACTCTCAAAAAGGTAGCCATCTAACAGGAGCTCATAGCATCTGTGGGGAAACGATCAATCTTAAGAGGAATGTATGTATTTGAATACACATACACACCCTGATCTAAGCAATTGTACAAAATACAAAAGTGTTACCACTAAAGGAATATAAGGATAGTAAGTCCTCTGTGCAGCTCAGCTGTCAACCGAATTTACCTTGTTAACACTGGATTTTGAGATGTCCCTTATCGTGCTATAATTGCCTTGAGAGGATGGGGGAGGATAAGTGTGGGGAGGGAAAGAGAATGTCAGAAACTAAAATCTTAGGTTCCACAGTAAGGAAGTCCTTAAGCAATCTCTGAAATTGAAAGATAAAGAAGTAGCAGTTGTATAAGTATAATATTTAGAAAATTGGAAATGAATACCAGAAGAAACAGGTGAAAGAGTTATAAGTGGTTGCCTCTGGGGAGTGAGATTCAGACACGGGAAAGGTAGTGAGGCAGTGAGCTGCTATTTTTTTCATTATAAGTCTTTTTAAAAAAAAATACTTGAATTGAAAACTTAACATGCATTCCTTTAAGAAAACTAGAAATTAAATTTTAAAGGAAAAATTACATACTCAAAAGTGTGGGATGAATGTAGTCAATAATAATGGTGGCATTGGTGCTCGATGGGTACTAGACTTGGGGTGATCAGTTTGTAAGGTATTTATAAATGTCTAATCACTGTGTGGTACACCTGCATCTAATATAATATTGTACTCTAGGTGAACTATAATTGAAAAAAAATTAAAAAGTGTAGGGCAGGTGGAATATATAAGACCATTTATCTAGCACCCATGCGGAAAGACGGGCATGGGGAGAGGTCAGATTCGGTAAGATTAAGGAAGAAGCAACCTAGCTGTTTAACTAGGTGGTGACTTATGAAAAGGTTATGAAGGAAAAACAGCAGACAGTGTGAAGGACTTTTTAATAGTGTGTCTCTTGAGAGATTTGAAAGACAGTATGGAATTTCTTATGTATTTACTCATTCACTGAGCATTTATTGACAGCCTTCAATCCCAAGCACTGTGCTAGAGAATTCTCTCTACACAGCCTGTACCTACAACTCAAATGCTCTCCCTCGGTGACTGCCTGTGGGAGGGACCTGGCCACAGACTCTTCTCCTGTTTCAGCTGAGGGGATAACCTCTCGTTTGTGTAATCTTATCTGATATTCTTTTTTTTTTTTAAGTTTATTGGGGTGACAATTGTTAGCAAAGTTCCATAGATTTCAGGTTCCATAGATTCCATAGATTTTCATAGAATTTCATAGAAATTCCATAGAATTTCAGATTCCATAGATTACAGATTTCTGTAATACATCACCTACATATCACATTGTATGTTCACCACACGAAGTCAGTTCTCTCTCCATCACCATATATTTGATCCCTTTACCCTCATCTACCACTCCCCTCTTCTCTTACCCTAAACTATTGTCTGTATCTATGAGTTTTGTTTCTTCATTTGTTTTTCTTGTTCTTTTGTTGTTTTCAGTTTTATATACCACATATCAGTCAAATCATATGGTTCTCTACTTTTTCTGTCTGACTTATTTCGCTTGGCATTATAATCTGAAGATCCATCCATGTTGTTGCAAATGGCACTGTTTCATCTTTTCTTATGGCAAAATAGTATTCCATTGTGTATATATACCACGCTGATGTTCTTTATCCTTACTCATTTCCTAAGTATGTCCATGTTTTAATTTAGAAAATTCAAGTCAGAGTCTTACTATTTGAAGAGCGAGGAAAGTAGATGCTGTGCTAACAAGTTCATATATTCCCGAGAAGGCTCCAAAGTTGGTTCAAGGTGTACCTTACCAGAGCTAGAAATGGGACAGTTACTTGTGTCTGGCCGTATCTACTCTGACGGTCCTGCTCTGGTTTGAAATTGCATCCTTTGATTCTCCTACATCCTTCTCCAGATAGGAAAGCGTGGCACCTTGGGAGAAGTGTGCGCTTTGGCATCTGACAGTCGTGGGTGAGAGCCTAACCCTGCCACTTATTAGCACTGTGCTTTTGGACAAGTTACTCTGAGCCTGCTTCCTGCTCTATAAAATGGACAGAGACCTAGCCCAGGGCCTGGCATGGAGTAGCCATTAGCTCTTATACCCTTTGATAATATTGATGGTCGCTTTCTCCACCAGTGTTAGATCTGAGTGGCTGTCACCTGAGTAGCAGCCTGTGATGTTTGGTCTGAACCAGTCATGAGGCCATCAGCTCCTCTTTGACTGGGAGATGGCTTCCTCAGGTTGGGAGATGAAACAACTGAGATGGCATATACCTCCTTAGCACTTCTGGAGAAGTCTAGGAAGTGACAACAGCAGCTGGCAACAGCTGGTGGGAATAAATTCTGACATTTAACGTCGTGTTAACGATAGGGACCTTACAGGCTGGGACTGCACTATTTCTGTCCCAGTTCCTTTTTCACGTTCTGATGCTCAACACATACAGGGAGAGGTTTTCACTGGTGTCTGCAGAGGGTTCAGCAGCAGCGAGGTCTGTGCACGGGGCTTGTGGGGGCCTCAGCTCTCTCTTCTGCTTGGTCTGGCTCTCACAGGCTTCTGGGGGGGGGGCTTTCTCCTTGGAGTGAGGGTCTGGTTGGGTGTTGTGCTCAGAAGCCAGGGAAAAGCTCTGAAGGTTTTATCTCCAGAGGGCACGTTCCCACTGAGCCTCAGGCTCCGTTTGAGTGTCACATACCAAGGCTTTCCTAAAGCAGAGGGAGAAGGCAGTGAGAGGAGGCACCCCTGCGTTGGGCCAGTGACGAGAAGAGTCCAGGTGAGAGGGGACGGGCAGCCTGCCCTGGCACTCGTGGCCCACGGGATACCAAGCGTGGAAATGGCGGAGGCACTCATCTCAGGGGCTTGAACGTTGGCAGAAGGAGGGCTGTGAGGTGTGTTTGTCAGCTTCAGTGTGTTTAAAGAGGAAGTGCGGATACAAGCCGTGTAGCATTTTTACTTGTCTCAGAGGAAATGGGATTTGATGAAAACCATTAACTCCGGCTTGAAGAGAAGCAGAGCTTCCTGTCTC